GGAAGTCCAGGAGAAGCACACTGGACAGCGGTCAAGAACATCCTCAAGTATCTTCGCAATACTAAGGATGCATTCCTGGTATACGGTGGTGAGGAAGAGCTAAAGGTGGTCGGTTACACTGATGCTAGCTTCCAAACCGACAGAGACGATTCAAAATCACAAGCAGGATATTTGTTTTGCCTGAATGGCGGAGCTTTTAGCTGGAAGAGCTTCAAGGAGGATACAACCGCCGATTCGACTACAGAGGCTGAGTATATAGCTGCCGCCGAGGCAGCTAAAGAAGCTGTTTAGATCAAGAAGTTCATTACTGAACTTGGAGTGGTTCCTAGTATTAATGACCATATCTCGTTGTTTTGCGACAACACTAGGGCCATTACACAGGCAAAGGAACCGCGATCTCACCAGAAAACCAAACACATTGTACGACGCTATCACATCATACGAGAAATCGTAGATAGAGGAGATGTGATGATTTGCAAAGTAGATACTGACGACAACATAGTCGATCCCTTGACCAAGCCTTTAGGAAAGCTAAAGCATGAGGGTCACACTAGATCCATGGGCATTCGACCGATGCCAGATTGGCCATAGTGCAAGTGGGAGATTGTTGGAGTTGTGCCCTGATGGCCAACTGTTTATCATTATTCTATCATCTATAGGCAGATATAATATGTTTACACATCTCATGCTAATGTAAACAAATATTATATTCCTAGATTTATATTTAAAGATGTTTATCATAGTGTTATTCTGCTAATGAGACTAACATCTTGAAATAAATATTTATCTGAATGTCCATAGTCGAGTATTAACGAGAGTGGGATATCGTTAATGCATGTGAGACTAGTGTGTGTTGGATGTTTGACTTAGTCTCATAGTCAATGACAGTGTGTTCGCATCCGCACATGGGCAGATATTATCTAGAGATAATAGGATGACGGATCGACCCATCCTAAAGATGTTGCTTGAACTTTTAGTTCATGCTCTAAATATCTTTAGCGCGACCACGGGTGTAACTATCCTTCAACTTGAAGTATTATGTTTTCTGCATATGTGAACCCGCATACTTTGATGCATTGTCCTAAGCCATATGAAATAAGGATGGTATACAGGCTTTGTTTTGGGTATGCCGCAACGCGTATTCAGAAACGTAGATTACGTATAAAGGATTTGTCACTACTCTTTTTAAAAGAGATTAATGTCTTATGGGGCCCACTGATAAGTTATGATTGAGGAAATTGCATGGCCATGCTGAGATGCTTTTATGACGTCTGTTCCTATTATTCAGACTTGATAAATCAGTGAATGACTTAATGGATACAAGTTGAATTTTATTAATCCCTTGCATTAAGTTTAGACATTGAGATAAAGGGATACAGTTACACGGAGTCTGAGTCGTGGAAAGGTTTTGACGGTGCAAACGTCTTAACTTATAATCTGGGGGCAATAATGTGTTGCTAGATACCGCTTATTGCTTATAGTATTGGTGCAGAGCCAATACTGTGGCCAGCTTTATAAGTGCCTATACGGGTCACACACTTTGGACAATTTAAGGAGTAGGATTAAACAATGGGATAATAAGTAATTTGTATATTTGTAAAA